GTAGAGTACCCGNTACCCACAACCCCACGGGTTTACCTGTCAAAACGAGCCCAAGAACATCCAAATCGGTTAAGAATTGAGAGAGTTCTGCCTGAGTTCAACTGGTCATTACAAAATTGTGTAGTCTAAAAAGCAGACACTACACAGTTTTGTAGTCTAGAATTTCGGACATCAACGTATTCCGTGGGGGGTTGTCTGGTCCATGTCAAAATTACATCCGAAATTTTGGCCATGGTTGCACTAATACAAATCCGGATGTTTTTTCGGCCGCATTTTCGGATCAGTGACGTTCACCAAGTTAATCACAAATCCGGACATTTTTTCGGCCGTATTTTCGGGGCAATGACATTCAGTTAAATACAGATCCGGATGTTTTTTTGGCCGCATTTTCGGGTACTTGAAGTACTAAATTTCGGACATTGGTGCAGTCTATGTGGATCATTATATCTGGATGGAAGTAACTTAAAAAATTTCGGACTTCAGAGCATTCCGCGGGGGGTTGTCTGGTCTGTGTAAAAATTACATCCGAAACTTCGGACATTGTTGCACTAATACAAATCCGGATGTTTTTTCGGCCGCATTTTCGGATCAGTGATGTTCACCAAGTTAATCACAAATCCGGACATTTTTTCGGCCGCATTTTCAGGGCAATTACATTCAGCATGTTAAATACAAATCCGGATGTTTTTTCGGCCGCATTTTCGGAGCAGTGACATTGACCAAGTCAACTACAACTCCGGACATTTTTTCCAGCCACATTTTCGGGGTAATGACATTCAGCATGTTAAATACAAATCCGGATGTTTTTGTGACCGCATTTTCAGGTACTTGAAGTATAAATTTCAGACATTGGAGCATTTCATGGGGGTTGTCTGGCCCCTGTCAAAATTACATCCAAAATTTCGGACATTGGTGCAGTCTATGGGGATTATTATATCTGGATGGAAGTAACTTAAAAAACTTCGGACTTCAGAGCATTCCGCAGGGGGTTGTCTGGTCCATGTCAAAATTACATCTGAAACTTCGGACATTGGTGCACTAATACAAATCCGGATGTTTTGTTGGCTGCATTTTCGGATCAGTGATGTTAACCAAGTTAATCACAAATCCGGACATTTTTCGGCCGCATTTTCAGGTACTTGAAGTACTAAATTTCGGACGTTGGAGCATTCTATGGGGGTTGTCTGGCCCCTGTCAAAATTACATCTGAAATTTCGGACATTTGTGCACTCTACAGAGATTAATACATCTGAATGGAAATGACCCACAAAATTTCGGACTTGAGAGCATTCCATGTGGGGCTTGTCTGGTCCATGTCAAAATTACATCCAAAACTTCGGACATTGCTGCACTAATACAAATCACACTAATACAAATCCGGATGTTTTTTTGGCCGCATTTTCGGAGCAGTGACATTGACCAAGTCAACTAC